AACTGAGGGCAAGAGAGTTGGTAAGTGGTTCCATTTACTTTGTGTATTCTGCCATCTTTGCTACCTCCCCAGATGTGTGCTTGATGTGAACTGCTAATCTACAGGCCAGCAGAAGAAGGGGAGATGGTTGCTGGTATTGAGTGAGACAGACTATTTGTCCACACAGAAAGGTTTCAACCTCATTGAATTTGGAATACTTCACAGAGAGGTTGTTTCCGTACAGTCTCTCTTGGCTTCAACTTTAGTTGAACAGCTCAGTCACTGTGGAGGGAACCTCAGAGATGCTGAAATTTCAAGATGTCTTGTAGGAGGAGTATGACTTGCCTAAAAGTATCAGTCTTAGTATTTCTAGAACCAACCGTTGTGCCAGGGTTTATGTAGAAGATGTCAAAGTACCTCTAATTGATGGATTTCCTTTCTCTCTCCCTTCTTTCCTTCCCTCTATTCTTCCTTTCCTCTCTGATTTATTTAGTCTTCTGACACCTTTGTAGCCATTACTAAATTAATTAACTCTTGTAGAGAGACTGAGTGGTAGCTAAGAGTTATATTTATCATCATAGTGAGAAAAGCAGAGAAAACAGAGAGAGTTGCCCCCAGGTCACTGGATAGTCAGTTGGAATTCAGTTCTGCTTTTACCTAGTCTTATTGAGAAATCACCATCTTCATCATTTTTAATAATTAATTCTACCAAATTGTTACCACAGGTTATCCCACCTCCTTCATATCCAAATATAAATTATATCCTGGGCCCATTACTACAGGTAGCCACTATCAGTGAACCAAAGCTCTGTAACAGGCAGGGATTTTTAAATAACCAATGATTATTGACATTGAATGCTTTGTTAGCAGTTTCTAAGGGGTTAAGTACAACAAGCTAAATGTTCAAGTGTTCCCAAAAAAGGGCTTAGGTATTTATCAGATTCATACATATGGTTAAATTATCCCCTCTTAAAAGTGATATTAAATTCTGGGAGACCAAAGTTCCTGTTTCCACAGTACATTATAAATGTGGGTTTAAGGTTGCAAATGAAAGTTGCTGAAACTTCTCAGCATACTATGGGGCTTCCTCTGACATCCAAATGTGAATTTGATTCAGACTGAGGTTATTAAAAAGACACCATGTTGGTCAGGTTGGGGATGGAAGGTATTCTTAGCGGGGTCAAAGGTAGAGGCAATGTCCAGGGTCATATTTGAGAAGCATTTTAGAGGGTGACTTACATCTCTGTTAACTTATTTTGTTCTCTTGAAGAGCTCACCTACATCCATGGCTCCATTTATTACTTATAAACTGAAAAAGACACCCAGGTCATCATCACCTGTCATAACTCTTCTCTGTACCTCCTCTTTATTTCCCCAACTACCTGTTGCATATTCCCTCTTTGATATTCTCTGCATCCTTGATAGTTCAAACAGCATTGTTCATCTCCTTTGACAAACCTAAAACCTAGTCTGACTGGCCTGCATGTCCTTGACAGCAATATTCTCCAAAATATTCTCTCTCATAAGCTCGTGGTCATCACTGGCTCCCTTCCTCTTTTTCTTACACTCCACAGAAGTTTTATTTTATTAGTTCTTCCTTACAGGCTCTCACTTTTACATCTTTCCGTGAACTCCCTTACTTAGACCCAAATCCCTTCTTACCTGCACTGTTGAGATAAGATAACCTTGTCACACGCATTTCCTGCTTGGAGCTCTCCCCTGCTCCAATATAATTCACAGCCCCAGAAAAGCCTGAGATCAACTCAGAATGATTGAATCCAGCTTGTTAGGTTAAATGTGGGGCCAACAACAGGCTCTAAAAAGTTTAAGTCAAAGTTTTTATGGGCATTCTCCCCCTACATGTTAAATGAAGGAGGAATTGGACTATTTCTTGGGTCTAAGAAAATAGCTATTGAGTGAACAATAACAGGAAGCATATTTTAGACCCATGTTAGAAGAGCCTTTCATGGATTCAAGCTGTAGTATGGTGGAACAGTACTCATAGCTTATGAAAGTGGGTTCCCTGTCCTACATAATCACTTTTCAGGGATGATGTAGCAAGCTAACACGCTTCAGACCACATGACCATAAAGGTCTTTTCAAGCTCCATAGTTTTACAACACTCCATCCCTCCCTCTGCCTCCCACCTACTGGGATTGTCTGTTCTTGCTGCTCCATACTTCCCCCATTCCAAATCCTACAGTGAATGAACATGCTCTCCTTCCCCAGACAGATGCTCCCCTGCTCACCCCATCCCATGGTGTTACAGTCTAGCTTACTGCCCCCTTGGCTCTTAAGTAACCTGGAGGCTAGATTTGCATATTGAGTTCCTTTTATGTGCTAGATTCTGTGCCCAGCATTTTGATTTCTGATTTGATGGATACAGTAGCCCTGTAAAAATACTATAGTTTCTTGTTAAAACAATTTTAAAGAAGGGGAAACACAATAATCATATAAGTAATAAGTTGCAAAGCTGGGATTGAACTAAGGTTTTCTAACTCCAAGTTCTGTGTACTTGAGAAAAGAAACAAAAGGAAGGAGGGGAAGAGTGAAGAGCCCCTCAACCCTGGACTGGACCATGGGTTGTGTGGAATAGGAGGGTGTACATTGAAAAAGTACATCTGGCATTTTTTATCTCAATAAGTATTTAATTGTATGTGTTGCCAGCAACATTTATAAACTTTGATGTTTAAAATAGATACTAGAGCTAACAAAGAGAAAAGAGGAAACTATAATATATTTGATTAAAACATAAAAGAATATTTATTACAGTGCATTTTATCATATGCCTAGTCATCATGTAAAAAGCAACAACTATTCATGTTCTTCAGTATGTGTTAGATTAAAATTGCATGAATTATTTTTAATTTTAATACTATATTTTAATATGCCTGGCTTTCATGTCATATGCTGTGTAATCACAACTTTTTTAAAAAATCAAGGGTGCTAATAGTGAAGTACTAATAGGAGGTAATGGACATGCCTAGCACTCTGTGTTGCACATTATAAATGTTTATTGGACTTGAGCATCTGTACCAGGAATGAGGTGAAAGGTCATGTCATTGTTTTGTTTTATTCCCTAAAATAAGTAACCACAAAAATTTTCAAAAGCATGTACCCTATGATACAATTCTACTTTTAGAATTCTATACTCACACTAATTTAATCAGTCCCATATTGTTTATAACCCCATCTTTGTGAGCTGAAAATTAGAGAAATTAGAAGAAAAAAAAATAAAACCTAAGAGTTGTTGAGTTCCTACTGTGTGCAGACACTATAGGTTTATGTACTTAATTTTCAGTTAATACTGAGAAGTAGATATGTTCCCTCTCTTTTAAGAATAAGAAAACTAAGGCTGATAGAGGCCAACTGTCTTGTGCAAGATCACTTAGATAGGAAATACCTGATTTGGAATCTGAACTCGGATATCTCTGGCTCCCAAACCCATACTCTTTCCAACATACCAATGTTGGATTCTGTGGAAATGTCTGAGGTAGTGAAGGGGGCTGAATGGGTGGAGTTCATCTCCCACCTTCACTTCAACCAGAGCACCTGCTTTATAATTAAAGAAAGAATTAACCATTCTACTACATCATACATTGGTATGGGAATTTATAATTAAAGAATTTTCACATAGTTCAATAATGTGTACTGATAGGTTGATGTCTCATTTAAAATGAAATAGTCTCTCATTAGCCATCAGCCAAGAAGACCTGAGTGGGTTGGAAAAGGCACCCGAGAGTCATAAGCATTGATTTAAATGGATTTAATTTTGAATTTTGCAAAGAGAGGGGTGGGGAGGTTTGAGATAATGAAAGTCACTTAATCCTGGGCCAGTCTCAGCTTCGACTTTGAATAAGAATTCACAAAGAGCGTACTCACAAAGCTGGATGCAACTGTTGGAGTCAAATGTTCACAGTGTAGTATCAGCACAACTTGATGTTTCACTGAAGCTACCTGACAAAACCTGGACACACCCATGAGTGCCTTCTCATTATTTTAAGAGAGGGCTCCTGGACTTTAATCTATCTGACTCATTTATTTGTTTGTTTATTCATTCATTCACTATTCATTTACTTTGAAGATAGTAAGAGAAGGTTGACCACAAGAAATTTTGTCCAGGGAGGTGAACTGGAGATGAAACCTTGAAGACTCACTCACTACACTAAATCACATTATTGTGGCTGGTGTTTGTTTTCTTATTTATAAGTGGGGAAACCTATAAAAATATTTGAGTATTCTTTCAAACCTCACATACTTTTATTACTTTAAGGTATGGGTAGGGATGATATGGAATGAGTGTTAAATTACATTCCCTAGTGGGGGGAATGTAACCTTTTCTCCATTACCCTTTTCTCCATTTCTCCATTCTCCATTGTTTTATGGATTCCTGTCTATTTCTATAGAGTAAGCAATGAAGTTTCTTGTGACAAAGGTTGAAAAAAATCACATTATTAGCCCACAAATGGAGATGAAAGGAGACTAGACTTTGGGTGGTAAACACACAATGCAATATACAGATGATATATTATAGAATTGTACACTCAAAGCCTATAAAATTGTATTAACCAATGACACCCCAATGAATTTAATACAATCTAAAAAGAAGAAAAAGTAAAAAGTGTATTATTTATTTGAAAAGTATCCAGGATCAAACTTTTTAGGATATAAGAACCCAAGTGGCCGAAACCGGTTTGGCTCAGTGGATAGAGCGTCGGCCTGGGGACTGAAGGGTCCCAGGTTCGATTCCGGTCAAGGGCATGTACCTGGGTTGCGGGCACATCCCCAGTAGGAGATGTGCAGGAGGCAGCTGGTCGATGTTTCTCTCTCATCGATGTTTCTAACTCTCTATCTCTCTCCCTTCCTCTCTGTAAAAAATCAATAAAATATATTAAAAAAAAAATAAAGAACCCAAGTGAACCCTGGACGGTTTCTTCAGGCAACAGACACCTCTGACTAGAGAAGTGTATGTAGTCTTCTGCTCAAGATTTTATCTGATTCTTATTTTATTTTTATTCCAGTTGCTACATTGATGGCCGAGTTGTCAAGGTGATGGACTTCCTGAAAACTCGCCTGTTAGATACACTCTCTGACCAGATTAGGAAAATTCAGAAAGTGAGTAAAAGTCCCCTGGGAAGAAGAGGAATCAGTTTGGGGATGAGGCAAGGAAAAGGTCAATGGGGCCCAACTGAATGGCAGCACTGTGGGAATCAGAGTAGAAAAATAGTTAGTCCGGGTTTGCATGGTCCAGAGCCCCCCCTCACAGTTGACGATTGTTTATTGTTTTTCAAATGGAGAAGGGTTTGAATGTGATATACCAAGGTTCAATAACAAATATTTTGTAATAGTTTGCTTCTAAATTGTGAGTTTCTTAAGGATAGGTTTACTTTATATTCTTTTTTAAATGCAACAAATATTTTGTAATAGTTTGCTTCTAAATTGTGAGTTTCTTAAGGATAGGTTTACTTTATATTCTTTTTTAAATGCAGGGGTTTATTTGGTGTTAGGTAAAGAAGAGGATGATTACATTTATTAAGTGAAATTTTGATCTGGGGAACTGGCAATTTTGAGCCATATTTACACTATTTCTAAATGTCTTAAAACCAGCCAAGTACCATCTTACTTTTGTAGAGATGTGAGGAAAGCCATATTATATTCAGCAATGGCATGTAGGTCCTATTAACAAGACACCTTTGGTCAATAGTTCTCCAACTTGAGTACAGTTAAATCACCAGAGCCTGCTCAGGAAGTTATTCTGACCTAGTATGTGTGGAGTGGATCCCAGACATCTCTATATTTAATAGTTTTCCATTAAGTGATTTTACCCAATGCAGATCACATTTTGAAATACACTGGATTAGTTAATTCTGAACCATGGAGATCTTATGTCTACAATTTCCACCTGTCTCTACAAAATGGTGATTTCACATCTTTTGTTGCCTAGTGGGGTCCTTTTCCAGGGAATGGGGACCTTTTGAACCCTTAACTATCTCTTGATTAAACAAATCTTTGCAGAATAAAGCAACAGATAGGCCCCCATTAATATGGGATGAATAAATAAGTGAATGTACAAGTGAATGAAATGGTTCGTGTATCAAATTAGCTGTGGAATAAAATCCTATGTAGAACAATTGTAGAAAAGTACTTTTGATTCACTAAAGTGGAAGTCTGTACCCTTTTTTGCATTCATACTAATGTCATACATAGAATTACAAATATCATTTTGAGTCTCCTTGTTATCAAAGACTGGGAAGCCTCAGGACTTCTGGACTTTTGCACCCAAGTCTGATCTGTCTCAGGATCAGGTGCATTGCCCAGCACTTATCTGTCACTGCCTTCTACTAGGCAAAGCCTAGGAGAAATAAATGACTTGAAATATCTCTGTCAGTGTTTGGCATTCATTTAGTTTTTAATATTGAAATATTTAACATTTGCTGAGCACTTAGCAAGTACCAGGCAAAGTACCAGGTGCTGGAATACAAAATGGAATAAGGCATGGTGTCCACCCTTGAGGAATTCACACTTCTAAGGTTTAATCCTTACTTTAAGCAGGTTTAGAAACATATTACTCAATATGTACAGTGTCAACCTATTCTTTCTTTTTTTTTAAGGATTTCATTCCCAGGGTAGCCTTTCTTCCCCTAGCATATCGCAGGTCATGTGGTTTAGACCCCCTCACCTTTCATATCGATAGTCATGACCTCCTCTGACCTTTGCTCCTCTGGCTTTTGCTTTGGCCCTGCTGAAGACATGGTTGGATTTTTTCCATGGTGGGACGGTGGGAGATGGGACATTGGAAACCCAAGAAGAGAACCTGCATCACAAATAAACTTTGCCACACCACAATCTCTGGTGCATAGATCCTTAGAATGCTTTCCTTGCAATCCTGTGGAAGAGCCTAATTTCCACCAACAACATTTGTCTTTGCTCAAGTCAAAATATAAATGGAAAGCCCCACATGAATCTGACCCCTGGAGCTTTGAACATAACAACCCAGCTGATAGTACAATGTCAACCTTTTGAATACTACAGTTTTCTAAGCATATTGTGCTTATGTGGAGGGGGAAATTTTATCTCATTTATTTGTTCTTCCATTCAATAGATATTTATTGAGTGCTTACTGTGTTCCAGGCACTATTCCAAGTGTTTGTATTACAGCAGTGTACAGGATAGATAACTCCCTGTATTTTTTACTTCTTGGTTTTGACCTGATCACAGTGGAAGTAAAATGATTCAGTGGTATCATGGTATTGACTGTGAAGGTTTTAGCTGTGCCCATATAATTTTTAAAGTAGAACAAAAGCTCTAAGTCAGAACTAAGACAAAGGTGTTGGAATTAGGTTCTTTCCTTTCTCCTCACAACCCATTACTCTCCACCACTGCATACTCCTTAACCATCATGGAATGTTCAAAGACTGAAATTAATAAGCTAAGTTCACCTCCTGATTTGTGAAGGCAAGGCCAGAGAAACTTAAGGAAAAAGGCTCAAACTGCACATTTGAGATTCAGACCTTTGAAAACATGTCTGATGGACTTGGGCAAAGTACAGTGTCAGAAAGAAATAGTGGAGCCTCTAAGACAGTGGTTCTCAACCTTCTGGCCCTTTAAATACAGTTCCTCATGTTGTGACCCCCAACCATAAAATTATTTTCATTGCTACTTCATAACTGTAATTTTGCTACTGTTATGAATCGTAATGTAAATATCTGATATGCAGGATGGTCTTAGGCGACCCCTGTGAAAGGGTCGTTCGACCCCCAAAGGGGTCGCGACCCACAGGTTGAGAACCGCTGCTCTAAGAGAAATGACCTACATGCAGAAGAGATGGCTTGTCTTTGCTGCACGATGCCTGAAGCTTCCACTGGATGACTCAAAGGCTGGGATGACTCAAAGGCTCTCAACAAGAAGCATCAGAAGGGCTTGTTGACTCCTGGGTGTGGCAGTTAGTTGATGCCAGCTACTGACCAGCACCTTTGTGGGACTCATAACAGGAATACCTTCATATGAACTCTTGATGTAGTGGCTTTCTCCCAAGGTTCTAAAGTCCAATAGATGCCCAGGAGAGAGCCAGGTGGAAATGGCATCACCTTTTCTAATCTACCCTGAGAAGTCACCAAGACTGATGGAAATTCAAGGGCAAAGGAAATAAACTCCTCTTGATGGGGGAGTGGCAAGATTCTGGAAGAGCATCTAGGACCAGAAATATTTTTGCAGTTATTTTTTGAAAATACTGTCAGCCAAAGTTCCATCTTCCCTGTTTCATTTAGTAGCCTTCAGTCATTTCCCTCATTAGTTTTCTTCTTCCAACTCTCTCTTACAAAACTCCTGTAGATATTGCCTTAAATGGGTATCTGCTGGGGGTGCGACTGGATCGCAGATTCTCTGAGACTTGACGCACAGGACAGACTCTTCATTGGCTCCAATGTCAGGGCCTTCAGGATGAGTCTCTCTCAGCAAAGCCCAGGATGTGCTAGATACTTCCCTGCCCTGGGGAGATGAGAGCTGGGAGAAGATCAGAGAAGAGAAACCAAGCTTTGCCAGTTGAAATGTTGCTTTTCAGTTCCTGAATTCCCCTGTTGGGTAGGAAGGGGTATGGGAAGTTAGAGTTCAAAGTGAAGACTGGGGCAGAGTGGCCAACTTCTTTCTTGTAAGCCCCAAAACCAGTTCAGAGATGAGCCAAATAGGATTTTAATATGTATCTACCTGAAGCCCTCACCCAAAAGCTATGAATGATATCTTTGTGTGTTTTTCTGTACTTTGGGAACTTCAGAGAAGTCCTAATAACACCTCCCCCCACGCTGATATCCCCAGGCCCACAGTGATAGAGAAGGGCATATTTCTGACTAAAACACAAAGTGGAATTGGTTAGGTAAATCAGTGGTGAAGCTGTTTGAATAAGAGGTAGGATACAGGATTTGAAGTCTGGTGGCTTGGGTTGGAGGTTAGGCTTAGTTGTGTGACTTCGGGATGTTAACTTAATTTCTCTGATTCTGTTTCTTTAAGAGCACTATCTTCTTTCCCTCTCAGGAAGGTTAGGAAGGTCATGTGAAGTCCTGTTCTGTTAATTGCTATTGAAAGCTAGTTCTTAATGCTATTACTATTGTGGTTTTAGTTACTGCAGTTATTTTTAATAATTTATGTAACTGGAGAAGCTTCATGCTACCTTTATCCTCAACTTGTTTTTTGTTTTGCTTTTTTCCCTCTTTCCTCTTTCTTTGAACCCTGGAGAATATGATAGGTGATATTTTTGGCACCTGAAAGACAGTAACTCAATTGCTGAAAACAGCTGTGGTTTCCAAATTTAGACACCACTTATAAGAATTGTCAGTTTTCTGAGCAGTGGGTGAATTGTTGTGATATGAACATCTGTATGATGCTTTTGAAAGATAAACAGAGACAGTGTTTGGACACCAACTTCTTTGGATGATCCCCACTCTCTCTCCCTTCCATTAGAATGAGGATAATCATCTATCTGTACTTTGGGAGATGAGTCAAGGGACAAGGGTTGAGAATCTAACAATACAGGCAAGAGTCAGATGGGAAAGTGAGAGATGTTTAGGATATAGTACAGATGGTATAATGTGGATAACTGGGCTGACTCCAAAACAATGATATAAGAACCAAGAAGAGCCACTTTGGCTTAAATCATTTGGACTCAATGATTTGTGTCATCTCCTAGAGGAATCAGAGGAGGAAATAATACTTTTTGATATTATTTTCAGCAATTCAATAAGCGCAGGAAGGAGTTGGTGAAATCCCAGTCATAAGGGAAGTATTTCCAAAAGTCTATCCATATGATTGCATTTAAAATACTAAATAAACTAAACAATTGGCTTCCCTAATAGTTTCTTCTTCCTCCCTCCCTCCCTCCCTCCCTCCCTCCCTCCCTCCCTCCCTCCCTCCCTCCCTTCCTTCCTTCCTTCCTTCCTTCCTTCCTTCCTTCCTTCCTTCCTCAGTCCTTTTCTGTCCTTCCCTCAGTCTTACTGAACAGTCTATCCACAGACAAGTGATACGTTCCACCAGCCTCACAGGTAATTTCCTCTCGCTGAGGTAAACTCAGTGCACATTTACCCCGGTGCACATTTAATTTGCACACTACTATCCAATACACTATC